TGTAAAGTAGTCAATCATCACAAGTATGTATTCATGTTCATTAGATGCCTTAGGAGTTATCCTACCTATGACATCCATCCCCCATATAGAGAATGGCCAAGGGGAGACTAAGTTGTGAAGTTCAATAGGTGGTGCATGGATGTGGTCTCCTTATATTTGACATTGGTGGCATCTTTTAACAAATTTGCAATAGTCCTTGACCATGGTGCTCCAATAATACCCCATTTGTTGTATTTTATTGGCTAACATGTGCCCATTCATGTGGGGTCCACAGTCACCCATGTGGACTTGTCTCATCATCTCATCTGCTTCTTGCTCAGTTAAGCAAAGTAGGTGAGTTCCATCTTGGGCCCTTTTGTGCAATTTTCCTCCCCATAGTATATACTAATAAGCCAATCGTTGGATCATTCTCTTGTCTTTATGTGAAGCATTGTTTAGAAAGATCCTATCTTCCAAGTACCATTGGATATCATGGAACTAGCAATTGTCATCAATTACTACAAAAGAACTTCCAATAGTGTAACAATAGGCTGGTTCTTCTATTTGTTCTATCATGATTGGTCTGATGTGGCCTCCTTCAGGCATTTAGAACTGTAACCCCAAGGCTTCTAGTGCATTGACCAAGTGATTGTATTCTCTCGCTATATGATGGAAAGAGATATCTTCAAAATGATGGGCCAAACTCTGTAGATGATCATGGTAAGCCTTAAGTCTCTTGTTCCTAATCTTCCATTCCTGATTAGCTTAGCAGACGATGAGTAGGGAGTCACCATAGACCTCAATGTTTTTGACATCTAGCAATAAAGCTAGGGGTGAGCAAAGAAAACTGAAAAACCGAACCGACCAAAACTGAATCAAACTCAATGTTTTTGACATCTAGCAATAAAGCTAGGGGTGAGCAAAGAAAACTGAAAAACCGAACCGACCAAAACTGAATCAAAAAATCGGTTAACCGAACTGACTAGTTTGGTTTCAGTTCGGTGTCTTTAAAAAACTGAAGGTACCGGTTCGGTTTTGGTTAACCAATATAGAAAACTGTCGGTTAACCGAACCGATCGGTATACATATATTTTATATATTTAATATATATTTATGTATATTATATATATTTTATATATTTTTTATATATTATAAATGAATAAATATGCATTATATATAAATGTATATTTATAATATATGATATGTTATTTATTAATTAAAATATAATATTATATATATTTATAATTTTTTATTATATATTTATGTATATTTTATAATATATATTATAAAAATTGAAAAACTGAAAAACCGACGAACCGAACCAATGGTTAACCGAATTAGTCAAATGGTTAACCAACTAGTTTCGGTTCGATTTTGATTACCGGTTTTCCAAAAACCGCTAGTACCGGTTTGATCCTAAAAAAAGCCCCATGGTTCGGTTAACCAAACTGTGAGCACCCTACATAAAGTTGCTTTTAGACCAGCAATGCATGCTTCGTATTCTACCATGTTGTTGTTGCAGGGGAACCTTAGCTTGAAGACAAGTGGGACTTGCAGTCCTTCAAGTGAAACTAGGACAATACAATTCCTATTCCCCTACCAGCCATGTTTTTGGCACCATCAAAGTACATCTTCGATCGACCAGCTGATTGTTTTGATTCCATTTCAAGGGTGAGGATGTCTTCATCAAGGAACTCGGCTTTTAGTGGTATGGACCAAGTCTTGAGGGATTATGGCATTTAAGGCATGTGCTTGGCTGAGGAGGTCCGTCACTACCTTTTTGTGGTTAGAAGAGGTCATAAATAAACCCCAAACTGAGATGCTAGATCGGTTCTCTCTAACTACTTTACCACATCTTTGTCTAGCCTACTTAACTCAACCCTGACTTCTGTTTGGTCCATGCTCTTGTTAGTTGTTGCTTGTGTTGGTGTTGATGGTTCTGTTAGTTGTACTGTTGGTGGCACCACTGGAGGCATTGTGGATGTTGAGGCTTCACCTGCCCCTTGTTTGGCTAGGTGTTGTGATTCTAACTAAGGGGTTTTAAAATGTCAGCCACTTCTTATTGGTCCTGAGTTGATTGGCTCTTTTGTCCCTTTCAGAGGATTTCTTCCAACGGCACCAGATAGCTAATTCTCGGGGTCCTGTTCTATTGTCCCGCCTTAATTATGTCTTCTAATGACATTGGATGGCTGACTTTTGCTTGACTTTGTTGACTCATTTGGACTACTTCTTCAAGAGTGATAGGCCGGGATGCGTGTTTTTTTGATTCGTCAAGAGCATTCTGGTAGTAATAAGTGACTGCATGATACTCTGATGGTCTGAATAAATCTTGAACACATTCATCAATCATGTCTCATTTGTCAGGCTTAGACTCTAAAGGAAATATGAGTCCCTCTTATTTGTCTTTTGTGTTTCCAACTAGCTCATCAAATGTGATTGGACCCGAAACATAGAAGAAGGCTTTGATGACAATTGGGAGGACCATATTCACGTTTTCCTCTGGTTGGATCTTCGAGATGAATTTTGTTGGGTCAAAGGTTGGTCCCATTTGCTGAAAAACTATAGCTACATCTCTTGATTCCATCGGCTTCTTTTCCTCCTTCTTGATTGGTCTAATTAGTGATGTAGGATCTAACACCTTTGATGACACCAAGACCATTGGTATGAAATTTACTGGTTGAATTAGTCTAATGAGCTTTGTTGGACCAATGGTTGGGCCATCTGCCTGGGCTTGTAAAGTGCCAACCTGATGCTTGGGCAATGGGTTTGTAGTGATATTCGATTGTTGTTGATTGGTTAAACCCGGGATAGTGATCTGATTCTTGTCGATCAGGTCTTGTATGGCATTCTTTAGTGCACAACAATTGTTGGTCCAGTGACTCAGTCCTTGGTGAAATTCACAAACAACATTTTTGTTAAACCAGGATGGTAAAGGGTCCGGAGGTGGCCTAAGTGCTAAGGAAGTCAAAAGGCCCATCTCAAGTAGGCCCATGAGTACTTGGCTCATGGGTCTACCCAAGTCAGTATATTCTTTATCTGGTCTCTGGGGGTATTGATTCATATACTGCCCAATCTTTGGTGCCACATAAATCCTGGGGGAAGTCTATGGCTTCTGATTGCCTTGCAACTTACTAAGGCTCTGTTCTATGTGGCCCAATCTTTGGTCCATCATACTTTGGGCCGGAGGCATTAGTGTTGCCCCTTTCATTTGGGTTTGGACTAGAGTAGAGGTCAAGGGTTGTGCTTGGGTCTGAACCTATTGGGAAGGTACCTGAGAGTGAGCCGAATATGAGTTGGGGTCTTGGACTTGAGGAACAACTATAAGTTAGATGTCTGAAATAACCAATGCCATCATATGGGCTCTCACGGTTGGGAGTATCTCAAATCCTAATTACTCTATTTCTCTGCCTACACATACCAATTGGAATGAAGGTCAATACAAACTTTAGCTAAATTAATAAATTGTTATGATAACTAAAGTAAGTGTCCTCACTTGTCTTCCTATTGAAGCAATGTCTGGATGTTGCAAGTTCCCCAGGTCATCTCAACCACCTCTACCACCCCTAACAGACCTCCCCCTTCTCCTTGTTTTGCCACCCCTACCAGACCTTCCACTTATACTACCAACTGCTAATCCTGATGATGACGCAACTTCATAAGTTGTTGGAGTTTGATGGGGCATGTATGAGTCATCAACAAATTGTGTAGATATAGCCCCTCCCTAGGGTGGCAAGACTTTCCTTCTCGTAATCTGGGTAGGATCATTATCAGCAACAGGCCTCAGTACCTACAATTCAAATACCCTATTTAGTACACAGTACACAAAAAAGAAGATGTAATAAGTTCATTTGTGTTGAGGCTTGTTTGATTTTACCTCTAGAGTCTCTCTGTTCATATTCAGAGGAGGGGCTCTGCAATTCCTTCTATTGTGACCTAATATACCACAAATTAAACACCAAACTATCTTATGCTCTAGTGGGGCACGATATAATGGGGCTGATTCATCCTCTTCTCTTCTTCTACTGGTTGGGGGTCGACCTGGCCTCCTCCTCACTATGGGAGGTCTAATTAGGTGGTGTTGCACTTATTGTCAGTATTTCTGCCTTGGGAGAGCATGAATAAAGTGATTGTACACCTTTGCATAGGTGGCCTTGTGGAAGGCATTATCTCATAGGTCCTCCACCCTACCTCTTGTATAAGTAAGCACTGCAAGTGCATGAGCACAAGGTAGGCCACTTATATCCCAAACCTTATATGTGCATGACGTTGCATCCATCTTGGTGACATTATCAACCAAGTCAGCTCCTAGTGTTTGATACTCGTTGTCATGACTGGAAAACCCAAACAGATTTGTTAATGCATTATACAATAAGTACATGTACAATGTCACCTAACAGAATGGATCTAAAGTACATGGGCAATAGACATCACCTAGCTTCCCTTCTTCTCTTGTTAATGATTATTAGCACCTTTGGCAACAGATTAGACCCAAGTGTAATGGATGTCTTATGCCTATCATATATCTTCTGCATCCATCCTTTCCTTATGTCCTCCAACATCTCAACAATAGGCATTACTCTGACCTCCCTAATCTAGGCATTAAATGACTTTGCCTAGTTTGTTATATCATTAGACTTAACTACTAGATCAAACCCATGCATGTACCATGTGTCAGGGGGGACCCTGCTAATCCATTCATGTGCATCTCTAGATAGGCTTTTGATTACTTCCATGTAATAAACAAAATTAGTATGGGTATATGATTTCCCAACAGCCCATACGGCATCCTTCAATGCCTTCCCCTTGAAGATTCTTTTTAAGTTACTATATAGATGTCGTAGATAGAATCTGTGGTTTGCACCAAGCATGCAACATGATACTGCTTCAACAATGCCCTGCAAACAAGCATCACATTTATTAGTTCTAGTTGTATTCAAAACAAAAGAAATTAGGCATTAACTACAAACAAATATTTACATACCTTCTGCATGTCTGACATAAGTGTTCACATGTGCGGGTCATCAATACCCAGAGCATCTCTTAACCAAAACCCATGTCCAATTGTCCCTGCTTTTAGCTTCCATCAAAGAATATGCAATATGAAAGATGCCATTATTGCCATCAATCCCTATAACTAAGAGTATTATACCCGCTATTGCACCAGTCTTTGTGTGGCAATCATTCGGTCCAATAATCATTCTGCAGCCATCCAAGAACTCATTCCTTGGACCTACAAGGCATATGAAAGACTCTCTTGAAAACCCCAAATGTGTCTTCTTCTGAGGCAAGTGGGCATGTAACTTTACAAAAGACTCAGGGTTGCTTGCAAGAAAGGCTATACAGTACTGGGGGAGTACTGCATATGATTCAGCCAATGACCCCCTGGTCCTATCAACAACCTTAAGCTTAGCCCTATGTATTTTCCTCCATGAGACATCTATCCCATACATCCTCTTGATTTCAGACTTAAGCACATGGCTTGACATGTTAGGATGAACCCTTACCAACCCTTCAACCTTTGTTGACAACCATGTATTTGTTGCCTCCCTATTTGTAGTCACCCTTAAACAATTATGTGTATCATTGAGGGTCTTCACCATGAAGTTGCCTCCATCATGGCTAAGGGATGCATGAATCCTCCAGTCACAATCAACTGCAGAACAAACCCCAGTAAACCTACTCTTTTCATTTTTCTTTTTTTTTTGATCTTTATACCCTCCACCACACAATACTGCCTTAATACTTTCCTAAACTCTTTCACAGTGGCAAACTCCATACCAACCCGAAATCTTGGATTGGAAAAGTCAAAATCCCTTGTATTGCCCCAATACCTTGGACTATCATACTCACTAATAGGCTCATAACTAGACAAATCAGCACAACCACCATCATGTACACCCTCACTACCACCATCCTGTACACTTGTCAACAGCATGATCATCCCCACTTGCATGGTCCACACCCTCATGATCTCCACCATCATCATCCGAACCCTCATGATCCTCACCATCATCATACGAACCCTCATGATCCCCAACATCATAATCCAAACCCTCATGATCCCCACCATCACCATCTTCATAAACCTCACCATCATCATACAAACCTTCAATCATCATACAAACCCTCAAAATTCCCCATTGTCAACATCATGATGACCATATACATCATCAACATCATCATCACATTCCATATCCCCTCATCATGGTCATGGCCATCATTAGCTACACCTCCTTCAACATCAACTACGTAACAGTCAACATCATCATCATCATCATCCTGCAATTGGTCCTTTCCCTTGCCACTACACCCATCATTCATACTAATACACTTGGCCTCGGTACAAGTAATGTACAACATTATCTCACATAGGTCCCCATGGGTGGAAAACATTACCATCACATCATTTTCACAACCAAGAAAACCTAAATGCTCATCTAACTCCCATCCTAGTATCTTGTAGTTGATAGTCACCATGCTTCCAGAAGGTACACCAGCCAATGAACAAAAGTCATTAAAGATGTCTAGATAGGTTATTTTGTCACTGTCCACATTATCCACATATCCAACCTGACCATTTACATATGATAATTTCCCTTATGTGGTCTTCCAATGACCACCATAATTAATGATGAACATGTATCTACTCCCATCCATCACCTACATCATAGAAATGAACAAATATAGTTACAATATGCTGATTATAAGCTAAAATTATTGTAGTCTATAATTGTAGTTTATAACATACACTATAAGCTTTATAGGCTACATTTTAAGCTACACCGACTATATAATAAGCATAAACAAGCTAAAGCATAAGCTAAACTCCCCATCTCTAACATTAAATCATGGGCCTTACATTTATTTACCAGTTTTGGCAGATTCATGTGGAAACAGTGTTTCAAGCATTTTGTTGAGCACTTGGATCCACATGTGGATCCCATGTGTATGAATTAAAGCAAACACTTGGGCCCCCAAAACCTAGCTATCTACTTCAATTCCAATTGTCGTTTTACCCAGACTGAATGGAGGGTTTGCAATGAATCTCTGTGAGTGGTCCCCCAAAACCCAGCTAAAAAACATAAAAAGCTAGACCATACCTCTATGATGACAGAAAACGTAGGCCTTTAAACAAATCCTTTTGGAATCTCACTACAAAACATTGAATCAGAAGTAAGAAAAACGCTCTAAGAACAAGCTTAGGGAGAGGACAAGTGCCGCCCTTCCATCGAAAAAAGGATGACGAAAACACAGGCTTTTCCATATAAACCTTGCACCGCCGTACCACCTGCCGGAGTTTGCCACAACAGTCGTCAAAGATGATTGTGGTTCCTTCTCTGCTCAAACGATGATAAACAACTTTCAAGTGAGAGAATAATATCAATCTGGTTGAAACTTAAAAGAAGGGTAAAATTGTAAAATGAACTTTTCTGTCTCGATTTAACGATGACAATTGTCAGAAAACTTAAGGGTAGTGTAAGACAATATCTAAACAATAAGGGTACACTTTGTCAATTTCGTGAACAGTAGGGGTAGTTTAAGAGATTTACCCTATTTTTAATTAGTAATGTGATGATTATTTTCTTATATTTTTATTAATATTTAGTATTTAATTACTAATTGAGTATTGTTGTTATAATAGATTTTTTTAATTACACTAAATTCTGGTGATTTACATAACTTTAATGCACAATCAGTTTTTGAAGTTTACTATTTAGTTATCAAAAATTAAATTAACAAAAAAAACTAATATGAGTCTTACATCTTTGTAATTGACAATCTATTATGACCTATTTTATTTGAAACCCACTATTAATTTATGTTTCTTTAATTTGATTTAAGATATTAAATGAGATCTTATTGGTAAACAATTACCCACTTTATTTGGTATTTACTATTTATCTAATAAATCTATCTTGAGTTATTTATTTTTAAAAGCTAAATTAGGTTGCTTCCTAAAAGTTAAATCAAATTTGTAATTAATAAAGTATTTTTTTGAAAAAAAATCATTTAAAAATAAATGTGGGTTTATGGTAATCTTTTATTGGGTCCCACCATTTGCATTTAATAGACTATAGATAAACATGTGTTAAGCTAATAAATAATTGTCTATTGATAATGTTTAGGAGAGAAACTACCCACTTTTTGAATCATATTTCTTGAATTAATAGGATGCCACATGTCTGAATGGTGGTAGTGGGTTGTGGTATTTAACAGCAACTTCTCAAAAAATTCCACGTATCTAGCTTTCCAGAAAAATGAGAAGGTCACATGTCCAAATGGTGGGGGGCTATAGCCTAGTACTGGGTTGTGGGTTTTAGTAGGAATTTCTCAAAAATTTCCATGTGTCTAGCTTTCCAAAAAATGAGAAGGCTAGTTATTTGAATGGTACTAGTGGGTTGTGGGCTTTCACAACAATTTATCAAAAAATGCCACGTATCTAAATGATGGGAGGCTGTAGCCTGAAGACCTTCCTTTAATATATATATATATATATTAGGGGTGATCATGGGCCGTGTCGGGCTGGTCTTTGCACTTATGATAAGGGCTATAGCCTAGGCCCATGCCTAGCCTGGCTTGAGGTTAACATATAACTGAGCCCAAGTCTACAAGGGCCCAGGCAGGGTTGGGCATAATTCTGGGCTATGTCTTTCATATATAAAAGATTATATATAAATGACAAATAACATGCATATAAATTTATTTTATATATTATATAATATAAACTATATGTGTCATATTATAAAAATATCTATAGGCATTTATTAACAAACTTCCTTGGAAACAATTAAAAGAGCATTGATTATTTTTAAGGGAAAACCCCTAGCCCTCCTTTAGGCTCTATTTGGAAAGAGTGCAAATACAAATATGTTCAATGCAAATCTTGTATATGATTCATAATTTTATTCTAAACCTTTGCATTGAACATATTTGAATTTGCACTCATGCCAAATGGAGCCCTTAAGGTTTGTAATCTATGTACCTATAGGGAGGCTCAAAGACCTCTCACCTCAATGCTCACAAAGGCTTCGAGTTATCCCATTCCTTATTCAGTAGAGAATGATCCCTGTGCTAAGTATGGGGTCACTAATCTGAATTATTTCATTTTTTTTATATCATCTATATTAGAAATTTAGGTTAGATTTTTTTATTTGATTTTTTGATAGACTTTTTGTTTGATTTAAGAAACTTACCATATTTTATCTAGAAGAATGGGCACACATCATTTATTATTTTATTTGAGATTCACAACTTATGCTTTTACAATAAATTTGATTTTGGTTTCTTATTTAATTAGAAAATTAAATCAGGTTTGATTTGCAATTAACAACCTATTTCATCTATTTCAAAAGGTATATAAAAAATCAACCTGTTTCATCTAAAAAATTGGACCCACATCATATGAAGTCTTTATAATGGCTCTTTATTTAAGTTTGTCTCATATCTACCATTTTTATACATTTATTAATTACTTAATATTTTTCATTTCATTAATCAATTTTCTTTTATCAAATTATTAATGTTTTAATCTATTTACATAATATTTATTCATGTTTTATTATTTAACAATTTCATTAATTGTTAAGTCATTTTCTTATTTAAATAGTCATATTTAATGTAACATTATTTTTTACTTTTTAATCATTTTCCAGACCTTTTATCTATGTATTCCATTTTAATCGATTTATTAAATAGTTAATAATGTTATTATTTTATTAACAATTTTAAATTTAATTATTTTTACATGATTAATCATTTTTAGTGATTTTGTTATGCTTCTTTCTCTCTCTCTCTCTCTCTCTCTCTACTTAGGCCTACAATTTCATTGTATTAAAAGTTTAAAATTACCGTCTTAATAGTATCCACAATGAAACAACGAAAGGAAATTCAGACACTGAAATTAAATAAAAGCCATGGAGCCAAGCTTCAATGACTAATTCTACATGAGAAATTAAGATCACCGGTAATAAGCAAACACCAATAATGTATATTTCTACATTAGCTTACTGAGAAACACAAGTTAGAGCAAGACTAAGATCTGAAACTTTCGGTGCTTTAGCATCAAAACTCAATTCCGGTCTAGCCATTGCGAATAGAACCATGGCTTCCTTTCTTAATACAACATAGGTTATGTAAGAGGCTCTCTTCATGTAAGCACCAACAAAACAATTAATGGTATCAAAATAAAACTATAAACTATAAATGGTTTCAAGTGTTTGAAGATGCAATTGGAGTCTACAATCTATACATTCGAAATGCTCCTCAGATAGTTTCAGGACACGAGGCATATCCACATCTAGGCCAATAACCTAAAGTACTCTAAATTCTCCACACAAAATATACGTTTAAATAATGTCTATTTTTCTTTCCTTATTTGCAAGTTCTGATATCTAGGATCTAGATTTAAGAAACATAGCATGTGGATTACTTAAAAATGGGTGTGAGTCATGTGTTCTTCAATGAGATAAAGTTGCTCTACCAAGAATTTATAGGTATCTCAAAGCGTCGTTTCCTCTCCCTCTTGACGGATTCAACTCTAGATGCCAACAACCATGGAACAAACCAAAAGATGTCTAAATAACATGAAGAACAAGAAAAAGGTTCAGCACTGCCCTTTTCCTATAGGCAACAAAGGTTCAATAGAATGAAAAAAATGCAAAATCGAAAAGTTTAACAAACAGAACATCAAAAGTAGTAACAATAAAAATAGACAATTATATAAATAATTTGGAAAAGCACATGTTACTTGAAGGGTAGGTCTTTCTGGTGTAGTTCGGAAACAAATCATGTTTAGAAAAGCTTTAAAGAAAAGAAATAAAGCCAAAAAAGAAGAAGAAGAATAATTCTTCACTGAATAATTAAGAAAAAATCAACAAAACCTCCTAACTTTGGTTTAGCTTCTCTTTATATAGACTTCATTTACACCCTTATGGCTCCAACAAGAAAGTTTCCTAATCTAATTGAATACTCCTTATTAGAATCCTACTAAATCTCTTCAAAAAAGAAAGTCTTAATTAAATACAAATTTGGAAATTTCACTACAATGCTAACTTGATAAAAATGAATTAAGATAGA